ACATGGAGAAGTCCGCTTGGATAACCTCTAACAGCAATAGCTTCTAAACCTAAGCTATTACAACAACCCAAAGTTTAACAAATAAAAAGCCTTCTAACTACAGATACCTACAAAATCTAAAATAGACAGAAAGAAAACGTCCCATATAAGCACAGGAAAAACAAATTTTAGCAGATTAAAAAGATTCCGATTAGAACACATAAACTTGTTTTTCAAAAGTAATTGTTAAAAATTCTTTTCAACTTTAATATTGAACATTAAAGTATAGAGATGAAAAGAATGGGGGGGTAGCGAGTAAGTTTTGAGAGATAAAGATTTGATCAATGAGAGAATGCTCTTAAAACAAAAACTCTTACTTCACCAATGTTTTAGACGTGAAAGCTTCTTTATATAGCGAGCTAAGAAGCTGTCGCCTTTGGAAAGAGATTTGAAATCAGAAAATCTTCTTTCCTTATTTAGAAGATATGAAAATCTTTGTTACCAAAAGTTTATTTTATCCTTCTTGGTAGGAGAATAAAACACGATTTTACTTTCCTTAGATCAAAAGATTTTCGGCAGCAATATTTGGAAAATATTTTTGCGGAAGGATGCTCTTAAATCACCTTTTTTTTGTAACATGATCACGTATGAGTGATGTCTGAGTTCTATTGCTTGGTTCTAGAATGCTTGAACTGGATTCTCTTGGATAAATTTGATGGTGGCTTATGTTTGTCACATTTGAATAGGCATTGTTTTCTAATTTCAGTCCATAGTCCGCCAACTATTGGTTTTAATGCCATAGTAACTTGTTGCACACAACTTCCAGTCAGGCAACATATCTGCTTCTGTAGTAGAAAGAGCAAACCGATGTTTTTGTTTCTTGCTAAACCATGATACAAAGAGCTGCTACCCCAGAAATTGCAGTTCAGTACGTGCTTTTTCTATCTATTTTGCTTTACCTGCAAAATCAGAATCACTATAACACAACAAGATCAAATGAATCATCTTAGAATACCACAGACCCGGATTAGAAGTTCCACAAAGATATCCTTAGTATTTCTTTTTACAGCAATTAAATGAGATTTCTATTGGGGACAACGATTGAATCTAGCACATAAGACAAAACCACTAAAATGTATGTCTGGTCCCTGCTTGCCGTTAGTATAGCAAAGAACCAATCAATACTTCTAAACAGCTTGATATCCACGTCCTTGCCTTTTTCCATCTTTTTCTAATTTTGACGATGGGACTTCATTGGTGTACTACATACTTGGCATTTTCCATTCTGAATCGTTTCAACAACTCTCTAGTATATTTTTCTTGATTAATGAAATTCCCATTCTCACATTGTTTGATTTGAAGTCCAAGGAAGAAAG